TAACGCGCGCCTGCCCTTTTCAGCTTGCCTGGAGGGCGAGGGGGCCGCCCCGCAGGCGAAGTTCCCGTGCCCTCTTGCCATGTGGGAGCTCGGACACTGCGATCCGAAGAAATGCACCGGGAGGAAACTGGCCCGACAAGGGCTGCTCCGAACCCTGCACCTCCGCCAGAGATTCCCAGGCCTCGTCCTCAGTCCTCTGGCTGCTGAGTATGTCTCTCCGGCCGACAGGTAAGTCCCCGGTGAGGCCCGCACCCAGGCGACCTCACCGCCTGTTCGCAAAGCCTGCGGAGGCACAGGCCGCGAGTAAGGGCGCTTGGCCCAAACGCTGCAGGGAGGGATTATCGGGGAGAACGTTTTAACCGCTGATACGTGGCCAAAACTGTGCTACGGAGTCATAGAACCATAGAATAGTTTGGGTTGGAAGGGACCTCTAAAGGTCATCTAGTCCAACCCCCCTGCCGTGGGCAGGGACATCTTCAACTAAATCAGGTTGCTCAGAGCCCCATCCAACCTGACCTGGAATGTTTCCAGGGACGGGACATCCACCCCCTCTCTGGGCAACCTGGGCCAGTGTTTCACCACCCTCAGCGTAAAAAATTTCTTCCTTATGTCTAGTCCAAATGTACCCCCCTTTAGTTTAAAGCCATTCCCCCTTGTCCTGTTGCAACAGGCCCTGCTAGAATAAATTTGACCTTCCTGTTACATCATGTCAATGCATGAACATGAGAAATAGAGCCATTTTATTAAATCAGGTTGACATTTTTACACAGCTGGTACTGGGTGGAAAAAGCATCTGTAGATCCCAGTGAGAAATCAAAGTATGTGGTTTGTAGGTTCATTTGTTCAGAATCACGGGCCTGTAGCTACTGTGTCTTTTATGATGCCATATTCAAGTTCTTAGGCTAGGCAACACGATGCATTAACTAGAAAACTTATTTGGAGGAAACGCTGAGAATTTTCTTCAAACGTGCCTGCAGAATTTTTATAAAGACGTATTTACTCAGAGAAAAGATTAGCCTTCAAAAGCTAGCGGAAAACCTAAATCTGAACTTTGGTGTACTTTTAAGAATGCGAACATTATTAACCACAATCTTCTGTCACATTTTTAAACCTAGAATTTTTCACTTTCAGTTTGAAACATATGGATAAACCTTTTTTGCCACATGCATGTTCGGAGGAAAAGCATGTTATTGTTCTTTCTCACATCTGCATTTTAGATCATTGTAAAACGTGTGCTTTTTGACTGACAAAAGGGGGGGGTTGTATGCGAATTTGTTGCCAGTATAAAGTGGCAATTGTAATTCTCACTTTAACTTATTTTATCAATACAATGATAACAATTTTTCAAATACAGTGATGTTTCTTTTTTCAGGCACATCATTGCTCAGAGCGGAATTGCAGTCATAGATTGCTCATGGGCCAAATTAGAAGAAACTCCCTTTAACAGAATGAGAGGAACTCATCTACGGCTGCTGCCTTACTTGGTGGCTGCAAATCCTGTAAACTATGGTCGGCCCTGCAAGCTGTCCTGCGTGGAAGCTTTTGCTGCAGCTTTTTGCATTGTTGGTAGGCAGTAATGTCTCATGTGAAATATGTTACCACCAATTCTTACATCCTTAATCAGAAGAGATGATCTGCGATAGACTAAACTGTAATGGTGTCCTACTGGTCGTCACTTTGTTGAGTTTGGAATCAGGTTGTCTAGCTTTCTTCCAAGTACTCGTACCTGGTAGCATCGAGGTATCTGTGGGGTGTTCATGTCAGCTAGTTAACAGGACACATATAAACTGATGATCCTGGTTTTGTCAGGATGGCACTTCATGTTAGAAAAACTGTTTAAAAAAGCCCCACAAGACAGAGCGTGACTCTGTAGGCACCTTTGTCTTAATGAGAGATAACAGTTCTCTGTTAATATGGTGGGTTCTGGTTAAGAACAAAAGAAATTGCCCCCTATTGTGATGTTTTGCAAACTCATCACGGAACTTTCTTGACAATTGAAGAGTCATGCTCTACTGCACCGCAGACAACTCTTACCTTCTGAAAATACTGTATGTACAGCTGCTCTCTTTCTGAAGGACTGTGGGAACTAGAGCTTGAATCATTCATTACCTGTACAAAATATTTTTATATTACACTCACTAAAAGATGATGAACTTTTCTTGGCTTCAGTTAGCTATTTCAAGTTAAACTGAAATTTGAAAAGATTTTTAATCTTTTTAAAAGTCTGACTCCCTGAACACTGAAAAGATGCTGGCAAACATCTCACTATTGTAGTGATGCATAGGTATGTACTGAACTTAGAAACCTGTCAGCTGAGTGAAATCTCACACTGAAAAAGAAAACTGATAATTTATTTTCTGTTTTAGGATTCCCAGACCTAGCCACCATTCTTCTAAGGAAATTTAAATGGGGTAAGGCATTTATTGACTTAAACAAAAATCTCCTGGAAAAATATGCAGCCTGTCATTGCCAGGAAGAAGTGCTGAGAGTTGAAAAGGACTTCTTAGCCAGTGTCCAAGAAACAAAAAATGAAGAAATAGGTAAGAAAAAACACAGACACACCACACACACCCTTTTCCTAACTAGTTTCCTTACAGTCTTTTCCTTTAACATCATGAAAATATTGGCAAGGTAGAAGATAAGAGCTTTGTTGGGACGTATTGTTCCGTCTTTATACTGTGTATTCTTCTTATAAGCAAGTTTGCCTATTTTTTTCAACTCAAAAAGATGAAAACGACTAAAGAAATTTAATGCATGCAGTAGTGTATTCACAGCTGAACTGTGGAGCAGCTACCCTGATTAAATTAAGGATACTGCAGAACTAAGGAGTAATAAGAAAATACGGTGCTTCCTCATTTTACAGATGTTAAAAGCAGAGGATGAGTAAAAAGAGTAGTAATTCAGGAGGACTACAAGAGAAATACAGGCATAAAGTCTGACAGCAAGTTAGTTATACATAAAGACCTTTAATGGACATGTTTATATAGTCCCTAATCAAGATGCTTAAAATCAGACCTATAAAGATAATGAAAATAGCTTATAATAAGTGCAGTAGTTTATTCCCAAATTCTTCTGGTAACTTACTGGTATCCCAGTATGTCAGGCTATGTTCACAGGTGAGTGCTTGGTCTCATTCAAGACAGCACCAAAAGAGCCAAATCAAATGGTCAAGAATACGTGAAGAGAGACACTCCTAGTTAATGTTTTCCTTTCACAGTGGTCAAGTCCCATAAAAATACGCCAGGGGATCACACTGTAAGGCTATGGTAGACAGCCTCTAGTTTCTCTGAACTTTGATCTCTTTGCCATGACATGCTAGGCTGAATAAAATAATCCTGTTGTTTGGTGGAAGCCTAACTACCATTAACATTAAACTGAAGACAGTTCTTAAGGGGCAACGCTACTGTGCCAAATAAAGCACGCTTCCACCCACAATCCTATGTATTTTCTGGATGGACTGTAGTACCAAAGCTATCATGCCTTGTTTGACTTTTCTGAGGTAACAGTTCTCCGCAGCTGTGTAAGCCAAAGTAGATCTAGCCCTACCCTTACTCGGCAAGAGCTAAACCTGGACAGCTATACTTCACTTCTCAGTAGACATGAACTAACTAGATAGCCCTTTTAGAACTAAACCATTCTGAGAACATCCATGTTTTCTTACCAAAAGCCTTAGAAACCTAACTGTACAGTCTGACTGACCCTAAAGAGCTACTGAATCCCTTGGGGGGGGGGGCGGGGGGCACAAAGGGCATGGAAAAGAGTGAAAAGACTAGAACGGGGGGGCAGGACTTGGCAGTTGTTTCTCACCTCCCCTGGTTTCTGACCAAACAACTATGGTAAGCTTATCAGAAAGCTGGACCAGACTTCCTATGCCTTTCCCCTCCCTGCCAATAATATTCTCTCAAAATGAAAATGAAGGCAGACCATTAAAATATGCTGCCTTCATCAATGTGTGCCCTTTTTTCTTCTTTTTCCAGATCCGTTTGATATTGACTCAGGAAAAGAATTTTCTAATCCCAACAGACCAATCAATTCCCCAGGGTAATGAAATTTAATTTAAATACTGTTTTTCTTATTATACGTTGTTTTGCTTTTATAATCCTGAAAAATGTTTCCAGACTAGCACAAAGTAATGAAGAATCCGAGGAGGACAGCGTGAGCACTCCAGATGATGCCACTGAAAGCAGTGATAAGAGCAGTCCAGAAGATGATGGTACCGTAAAGTCGCTGCAACAAAAGCCAATAAATCAACTATTTGAAAAGTAAAAAAAAAAAAAAACAACAACAACAACAAAACCACCACATACCACAAGAACATAAAAAAATCCCCCAACGATCCCAAAGAGTTGCAACATCTTGTATAAAGAAATTTTCTTGTTAAGTCTGGCTTGTCCACCTGTAACTTGGTGCTTAGCAAATGCCTTCCTTTAGATGAACCTCAGGCTCTATGTGGGTTTATAGGTCTATTATGCACATAAAGGCTTTAGGTTATTTAATTTTTAGATAATTGTCTATGGAATGCTGATTATTATATAAAGAGCCTGAAGCTTAGTTATGAGTTAAAAAACCCCCTGTATTCTAATCAATGTCTGGAAAGTGGTTTATAGGTATTATTTTTACCTAATAGTACATGAAGTAAACCCTTTTAACTTCTGGGCTATATTGCAACTGGAAAATGTGACTAAGTTGTTGCCCTGTTCAGAGTACCCACTACGTGAGGAGCCTTCTAACTTTCTGCAGGCTTGAACCTGCCATAATGTATTTCTACTACTTCATCTAGTTTAGGGTAAACCAAGCATCAAAGGAAAAAACGCTTCCTGGAATTGTTGTAACATCTCAGTGTGTCTTTTCAGTAACTTTACGTTTTGTTTTTTTATTTACTCTGATAGACCATCCTAAGCAACATACAATGTTTTGGCACTTTATATTCAGAACTGTACCATAAAGTTTCAGGTAACAGGTTCAGCAATGCTATCTGCCTGCATTCTCATTACTTGAAGTGCCACTCTACCAAGTCAGAAATACACATTGTCTGGCCCTTAAAGATTTGAGTCAGAGACTCTCATCAGCACTAGTATCTTAGTTCACTTTTCCATATGCCTGCCAGTTTGTATAGTGAAAGTACAGCTGTTAGCAGTTGTTTTCTGTACGTTTAAATAGAATGCTTTTTTGAGTTTCCAGCACCCAACTGGAACTTATTTAAACCTAAACTTCAGCAATGCTTCAGTAGACTTGGAGCTACTGAGGACAACTCATAGTGTTACTTTCGTATATACAAGTTCTCCAAGTCACAGCAAGATTTTCACCTCTTAACCCCCTTCTACTAGAAAGATTAAATGCTGGCCCTACTGCAGCTAGAATTGGGAGTCACAGCAGCAGTTTTAGTGGTACAAATATTCCATTTCCCTTTAACAAGGAAAAAAAAAAAAAGCCCAGGTAAATGAATTTAACAAGGAATCTTTTCCTTTAACTCAGTTTCTCAGTTACTCACTTTCCCACCCCAAGCATATGGAGTCTTTCCCAAATGAGCTGTTGTAACAAGGATTTCTAGATAGTGGCAAGGAAGCAATCCTACACAAACAACTTTTAAAGGACTGAGAATAATGGAAGGGCATTAGCTATTCCGATTTGGGGAAATGCTTCGATGTTACAAAGCTATTGGAATCAAATGCAGACAAGCAGAACAGATCTGAGAACAGAGCTGTATCACACTTAAGTCTCTAGCAGTAGCCATTTTTTGGTAGCAAAAGCACTGAAGAAGCTACAGCTCAGATGGAACAAAGCTTTTCACACTTCATTTGTTTTGCAGAATGATTTTGACTAAAAAATACAATTAAAAAAGCAGTGAAAGTTTAATAAGAGGGCATATCAGCTTGACATACATGAAAATAACTTACATAATTTAACTGATTTCCTTTACAGAAGGAAACTGTAATTGCATAGAGCACGTCCTTTTCCTAAAAGCTATATACATTGACATACGGAAGGCACAGAAATATTTCTGATAAACAAGTACCATTTAAAATCCCCAGTTGCTGTAGGTCCCCTCGCATTCCTTGGACAGCTTCTATTGCTGTTCATAGTAGTCTAATGCTTGTGTTATTTTATGTTAATGTGGTCACAGCAGTATGTTGATCCTGTTACGCACAGTAAGCACTTGGTCTCTAGTCAGAATTCTGTAAGCTGTTTAAGGAACTGATCAAAGCTGAATAGCTGCAATTACCACTGTGGGCCCAAAGAAAGGCCACACTCATGTTGGGGGCAAGGAAAAGAAACCAAGGCAACATCTAAACAAAAGGTAAGTGCAGCATCACAGGCCTTAAAAACAGGACTTGCACTGAATTGTGTTCAGAGCCATTTAAATGGCAGTCTTTTAATGATTTTAATGAAGATAAATGAAACAAAGCCCTTTATATAAACAGTTTATTTACTCTAAACAGCAACACAGACAGAACGCCATATAAACACAAAGGAAGTGATGCAGAATAAGGATGCTGGCTGACTTTGGATCTCAGAGGCTCTTAAGCAATAACAACCTAGTTTCTGAAAGATAGAAAAACAAATTCAGGGAGGGAAGGGGGTGGAGGGCATGATTTTTTTTTTTTTTAATACAGCCAGCTAGAGGCTAAATATAGTTCTAACATTTTAAAGCATGCCTGCATCAGATAGCAAAGTAACTAGAGATACTAGTGAATTTATAGAAGTATAAAAGTTTATAATTTTACAGCAGTTGAAATACTGACATCAATATTAAAATAAAAGCAAGTTTTACATAACAATCAAAAATACAAAAGACTGAAGGAAGAGACCCTGTATGAAAAAACTGGGGGCAATTCAGCAAATTTAGAACTGTATACAAGTGGCGAATATGGAAAATGGCACACATACAACCCCCTCCCCTAAGTGGATATTAATTGTACATAGCAACATTAGATTTTGCAAAAGTTTTGTAAACAAGTTCTTGCCAAACCAATCCCTTCCTTTTTAAGATGCTGCATGACAGACGCTTATGATGGTGCAAACTTCTTGGCTTGTGCTCGAACCCTCTTTTCATATTCCACTCTGTTTTGGCTGAGTAGAAGAGAGAGAAAGGGTAATTACAGCTTTAGAAATCAGAGGCCATATTACAGAGTTACCGTTCTTTTATTTCTCTTCAATATGAAACTAAGTCACTGCTGAAGGCAAAACCATTAAGTAGGAATTCACTGAATACTACAGTATATTAAAGGCTTTTCTGGATCATTACTCTGATAGTTTCCTCTGGAGGGAAGTAAGGCACTGTTTAACTAGTTACTTCCCAAACTTCATCTGTTGTCAAACGATTGTACTATCTGACTTCATACCATACCAGTCTCTATAACAGGTTTGCGCCTGCTCTTTCTCAAGGCCAGCTGTACCTTACATGCAAGCATTCTTACTCATCTGAACATAAGTTTTCCACTCCCCATGTTAAGACCTGAGATCATTAACAATAAATTCCAGTATTCTAACAGCACAAAGTGGTTGATAGCAGTTCGCTAACGGTGGACTTCATATGATTTTACTGCTTTGGGGGGAGAGGGGAAGCACTCTTTAAGAAACAGGAAAGTGGTAATGGTATGGTAGTTTCAGCCTTTTATCTCTGCAGACCCCTGACTCACAGTGTTTGGTTTATCCTAATCTTCAGTTGAAAAAAAGCTAGCTCAACATTCGAAAAAAACACTGTAGTTCACTAAGTCTAGCATACTTGCTACAGATTGATTAAACAAGCAAGTACTACTTCAAGGAACTGTGACTAGTCATTAAGCCTCAATACATGAAAGGGCAAGTTCTTTGTTTTCTATTCTTGGGCCAACAAGGGATGGTAGTAGCTTAGTAGAGCATCCGTTTACATTCAACACCGTAATTTGTATTAGCTGTCAGAAGTGTCAGTCAAGAGCTAAACAAAAATTTGTTACCATTACTCTTGTGCCAAAGGTAGTTTACAGTGACTAGATTTTGCAGACAGCTTTGCAGTAAACTTAACTTACTTTCAGCTATGAAGGCTTGCTGCAGTAAAAAAAAAAAAAAGAGGCAGCAAATTATATCCTCAGCAGTTGACAGTTTGGGGGGAGGAAGAAGAGATGAAGCCAATTTTGGTCACATCCAATGAACAATTACCAGCAATAGACTGAAAATACTCTAGTTCCTTCTCAAACAAATTTACAAACTTTATTCTAAAATTTGTCTTTAAGTTATATTGCAGTCACATGAGAACACAACCTAGCTGTTAAGTCTCACACCCTCAGAATCCACACAAAAGAATGCCTGCCATAGTAGATTCTGCATGCCTGCAGCAGAGAGGAGGAAGTAGGTTAGCACATTAGGAGTGCTAAAGTTACAGAGCGACAGTACCAAAGCAATCCCTGAGAATGAGAACAAGTCTTCTTATTTTGAAGACAAAGTTTATTCTTGAAGTTTAACAACTTGACTAAAAGACATCTATTTAAACAACACTGCATCTTCCCCAGTGTTTATCAACTATGCCAAATTACAGGTGCATACACAGTCCTGCTCTGTTGAGCTGCTTCTACCAGTTACTCATTAAGTAGTAAGAGAGAGACACTCTCAAGACTGCAGAAATATAGTAAACCATCTGAAATACCATGCATGTCCAAAAGACATGAACATGATAAATGGGAAACCATATATATTTGAAGTAACAAAAACCATGTGTAATACTTTATTCTCAATAGAACTTTTTCCTAGAAGCACTTAGAATAAAGCAGAAACAAGAGTAGTAAAGACTGTTTTTGTACATACATGCGTGTGGGAGGTAATAAAAAATAAAACACTACTTACACATGTATAAAAGTATATTATTCCTGCCCCATATTCCCTCAGAGCAGCTTTTTAAAACAAAAAAAGAAAAAAAGGGGGGGGGGAGGCCTGCCTCATCATTACTGGCTCCCTACAAGCAGCTTTTTTAAAAAAAAAAAAAAAAAAAAAGGGGGGGGGGGGGGCCCTGCCTCATCAGTACTGGCTCCCTACAGCTGTGGCCACCTAACTGTCCTCCATATGCACTCAGTCCCATCAAGTCTTCAGTAGATACTTAAAAAATAACATTGGATTTAACTGAAGGCTTCACTCGAGATGTACTACCCATCCCTATGTTTCCTTTTCACTAGGATCCTATAACAGACATTTTTGACATAGCTTGTATATGAAGTCTCATAAAATGCCATTTTTCAAACTTGGCACTCTCCTGGAGACTTGTTCTTCTGTCCAGAATGGTAATTCCACATTTCCATCTTGGTCATTATTTCAGTAGCTGTCAGTGCCAAAAGCATTTGTTTAAAGTGTTTTGCTCCCCTAAAGATTATAGATCAGCCATCCATTTTTAATGGTGGGAAAATTTTAAGATTAACCCTAAAAAAAAAAAGAGTACTTTTTAGCTCACAAATTATCACCTTTCCTAACCAATGCAAACTTCATTCTGCTAAAGCTACAAGCTTTCTATACTTTTTAACCTATTCTTTCAGAAGATCTAGTTTTCCCAAAATGCCGTATATTTCCCACAGCAATCACAGAAGCTCTCCTTTATCCTTCAGACAGAAGTGCTTACAGGTACCCACTACTGGACAGAAGGAAGTTACTCCTATACTGATGAATGGGACTTGTCACCTAATTCAGTCTTTTCTATTAGTGGTCTCACGAAATCATTATGCCTCATCACTACTACTCAGTTAGCCTTTAGGGGAAAGGATTCTATGTTGGGCTAGAACCAGAATGAGAATCGTGGTCTCACTGAAGGAGTCTTCATGCTTTATTGCTGTTAGAATGCTATTAAAAGCTCCACTGGCCTGTTAACCATGAAGTTACTGTTTTGTTCAAGTTTAGCACAAGTTAGGCATCTCCACAAGATACAGCCATGAAGGTAAGAAAATTCCCCTGATCATTCCTAAAAACATTTGCATGTTATACTATAAGTAATAGACAGCTGTAGGCAATATGACAGCTTTCAAACTGATACGCAAAGATACTTACCAGTAAATTGTGTAAGCCTCTGCTTGAGCTGGGTCTTGAATATTTGGTTCATTTAGAAGTTCTTGTATTCCTAACAAGATCTGTAGAAGAAGGAATAGAAGTAACATAAGCATGGATATTACTAAGAGACATTCAATTAAAAAAACCCTAGAAACCAACTGTAGAAACACACAGTGAACATCTTACATTCACATAAGATAAGCAAGCAAAGCAAATAAAAGGGCTAAGAATATGTCTAAGTACAATTAATGACCTGTTTAATTGTGATTGCTGGCCTCCAGTCCTTATCCTCCTCTAAGATGGAGAGACACACTGTGCCTGAAGGATACACGTTTGGGTGGAATAATGGTGGTTCAAATTTACCTGATGAAGAAGAGAGAATTATTTGCATGCAGCGCTAAGACTAAGATCAGAGAGTTGGTTTAGATCAGTGGAAGAAAAAACAAACAAACCAACCAACCAAAAAAACTGGCCAAAGACACCCCCCCACCCCACCCCTCAAAAAAACCCCACACAGATTTCTGAAGCTAATACTGGTTTTCTTCTTGGCTCAGTCTGCACCTAAAGCAAGACCTCCATCACATCTGTGGTATCGATCCAGGTGGTGTAACACTATCATTGTGACCAGTAATCTTTTGGTTTAGGAATGGAAACTGACAAAATAGTTTGTAGTAGCTTTGTGATAAAGACCTTTTTAAACCAGTCCTGTCTTTATGGCCTCACATACTACTATATGAAGGAAAAATACTGCCCTTCATTCATCTCTTCTCTCCTCACTTTAAAATACTGAAAGTTCCATACAAAGACGACGAAGATTCTAGCATTTTTTCAGTTTCACTTTTCCTTTATGTTAATCAAGATGCACTGAAGAAGAGGAACCAAGTTTAAATTGCAAGACTGACTGAAGGAGTAGGCTTGTGCAGCTCTCCTTCTGCCACTCAATCTATATTCTGGCATTTCTTTAATCTTTACATGACTTAAATGCAACAGCCACCATCTTGAGTAACGTAATGAACACTTGTTTAGCAATATATGGAACATCTACATGTTAGTGCAGTTTTCTAATCCATCTGACATCACAAGTAAGTCTTGCTTATGAGCTGCTCAGTGAAGTTGAGTAGGAACTCAGAAGCTACATTGGCAACGAGTCTTACTAGTCACATATACATCTTATTTTAAGGCACGACAGTTCCTTTAACACTTGCGGGATGCGCTAGTTGGTATTTCTCAAGATATTAATGTTAAATATTTTCTGGTTAAGAAGTATGTTTCCTCTTGTGTCCCACATATTTAGGTGGTAACAAACAAAAGGAATAGCCAAGACAACAGATACAGCTGAAACACTAAAATGAAATGAGAAATGAACTGCTGTCAAAAAAGCCATTTGTAATCACTGTCATTGATTTGAGATGGTAGCCAATTCAAGAACCAAGAAACTAGGCAAAGCAATAGATGTTTTCAGATTTCTAATGCAGCTAAGTTTGAGATGGAATAAGGAAAATTCTAAAACTTAACAAGGAAACTAGGTATCTGAAGATATCTGTTGTACATACTATCAGAAAAAGAATAGATCCATGTTTTAGAGCAAGTCGATGAAAAGGTTAAAGGTGATTGAACTTTTTTTTTCTTCATTATTTTTTCCTGAGTTCTTGGCTTTGAAGACCAACTTAACAGTAAGAACATGCAAAGGGATTTGGTCTAACTACGCCTACCTATTCGTTTCCAAAGAGTGCTGATCAAGCAGCAAGCACTTCAAGTGGTGCTTCTGTCAAACTTAGAGGAAACCCACACAGCAATCCCCTTCCCTCCCAATTTTGTTATATTAAACACTTAACTCATTTCATCACAACTTTCTAAATGCAAAGTGGTGGGTGGGGGAAAAAAAAGAAAAAAGCAACTTTCCGTTAAAAAAAAATCTGTAAGAAAGTAATAACCGTTCATAGAACCCCAAGGACTAGTTTAACACTGTTCTAATAAATCCGTGTTTTTTAGTCATTTTACTTACATTTTGGGGGTGAAGAAGGATAGTCATCCTTGAAAAGCATTCGTAGTTTAAATAAGCCTCCTTCCCATGGTGTCTATAAAAAGTTAAGGTAGAGTTTAGATTACAGCAAGGAAAAGTCAAACTTGTGGAAAAAAGCTTATCAAGAATACAGTTTCTCAGGCAAAGCACAAGACGTCCTTCTGCTACACAGTAGGAAATAGCTGTCCTACACTGTAGCATGCTGTCTAGACTGAGACAAATTATCCTACCTATATAAGGAATTGAAGAAAGAAAACCCTGCTTTTCCACTGCATCACAGGTAGTAAATGTTGCTGAGTCATCAATAGAGTCACGATCATCGCCGATAATTCCATATACAAGTAAAATTTTCGTATTTTGGAGAACAGAATACTTCTAAAGCTTTACATGATACACACGCAATGAGGAAAGGGCCATTATACCCCCACTTAAAATAAGTCTGAGAAGATAGGATATGGATACACCCCTTAAGCACATGGATGTAAATGGCTTCTATTTTGCCTCACGAGAACATGAAAACCACAAATGAACAAAAAATTTGGACAGTACTGTAGTATTGCTACAGTTAATATGAGGTTCACTGGTCTAAACTAACCCTGTCTGCATTTGGTAGCAAGTAGTCTCACAGATTCTATCTCTTTGTGTAACAGAAATTCTAAGAAGCTTTTTATCCCCATTAGAAACTAGGAAGAGCACCAGTAAGAGCACTTCCCATGCTAAAGAGCAGACCAAATAAGACAGCACTACTCAACAGAGCCATATAAACAAGGAAAAACATCTAGCAAAGGACAAAAAGGCTGTCTCAAATATGTACTTGTCATCTTACTTGGAAATAAGGAAAAAAAGCCCATCTTCTGACAAACTGATTTCTGGTAAGAAGTGTAGAAATACATAAAAGTTTATTACATATGTAAAATTCAGACCACTTCTCTGTAACTTGCCCTTGCTATGGAAACACTGCAATGAAAGCAAGTGTTGGGTTCATTCTTTAAAACAAACTGGAGTAAAGATGGTCTCACAAATTATCAGCATAAGTGATCAAATCTTATCCTCAGGGACAGACAGGTATGTTTGAAGACCACCTTAGGAGGAAATCCCTAATTCTTTCCTACCTGAATTATGTGATTTTTAGTGGAAGGAAAAAGAAAAAAAGCAAAAAAACCCCCACCAGAAAAACCCCACCCCAAAAAAGAAAAAGCACTCCATTGTCATTGGTATTTACTGTGCAAAGTCTCAAGCTAGAATAGGAAAAAAAACTTGCTAGAGAATACTAAGATAATGGTGTTTTAAAAAGCAAATGAGTTTGATTACATTTGCTATAGTGTATTTAAACTTGTTCTGAACAGCTGTAGTCAGTTGTCAACAATTAGAAATATCTATTCTCCATACCTTCTCAGAGGAGACAAACTTGTCCATTTTTAGAAGAGAGGAGCCTTCTGATAGAATAAACTTTTCCTATTTTATTTGCTTGCAGTCATAGGGGAAGACAAATAGCTTTTAGTAGTTTCTTCAAGTAGAACACCAGAACAGTCAACAAAAAGTTTTTACTGTCTTTCTGATAGAGTAACACACCATACGGGTGAAAGATAGCAGACACTCAAAAGCCTTACTAAGATAATAATATGACAGCAGTATCATCAAGATCGTATTGTGTTACTGGATAGGTTGCAGACGTTCTTGAGTCAAATTCTAGGTAGTTAACAAGTGATTTGCTGTCAAAAAAGTGAATGGAGATATCCAACCCAGGACTAACACCACTTTACTTCAATTTTTGATCTGGCTGACAAGAAAGCATTTTGGTGGTTTCAACTACTCATCTGTCTCAGGGGAACCAGCTGCAGTACAGCGTGCCTCCAAACACAAAGGCAATAGAGAGCAACTGGTTGGTCTGGTAGAGATGAGCAAGGCATGCTGCTTCTTGTTAAAGAGACAGCATTTTTACTCAAGCGAAAACCCCGTTTTTTTAAATAAATCTCTACCAGGAATCACATGAGCATAACTGATCTTTTCCTGGTGTGATGCATTTTCTAGGAGGCAAGAAGTTGGCTTTAAGAGTCTTGTTTGCTCCATTTTGCAGTTTACAAAACCTTGAAGCAGTAGCATGAAGATTTCACATGGCATGAAGGTTTTACCTAAGTATTTAAAGGTGACATCTTGATAAGGTACATAACTGGCTTTTATGAGGGGTAATCTTGTTTTGGCAGAACGCAAGGGGATGAGTTTTTCCTTACACCATCAAATGACTTTTAGGTGCTTCTTTAAGAACTAACTTGAGTTGTATGGACAACTACCAAAGCATTGAGCTAAGTTACAACCGTAACAGCAATGCCATGTTCAGCATTGAACTGAGGCAGTAGTACAGAACCTGCAGGTTTTGCAGAAGACACTTTGTCTTCTCAGGATCTAAGAAATGAGATCTTAAGGGGACTTAAGCAAGTTGGCAAAACACAGTAGAACAGGTAAAGCAACAAAAGAAGTCACACATCCAATGCAAAACACTAAAGACCCAAAAGAATGAAAAGCATCAAATAATTAATAGTATTATCTCAGAAGAAACAACTGCATCCAATGAATTCAAGAATGATCTCTACATGCTAAGTAACATCTTGAAAAATAGAAACAAGATTCTGCTCAGAATGAGCTGTTATAATGGCAGTGTACAAAATCAAGCTAGTTTCATGCATTGATGATTATTTCCACTTGAAAGTTTGTGTTTGTCCTATCCCCTAGAACCACATCAAGCTGATAAAAATAAACAATTCTGGTCTCTACAGACTTTTTCCTTTCCCTTGTTAGTTTAAGGAAAGGGACACAGAGCACAAGTGAAATCAGATAAAAAGAAACAATGTT